CAGAAGTTTTAGATTAGCCTGGGCAATATAATGAAGACCTACTTTTTTTTTCTTTTCTTCTTTTTTTTTTTTTTTTTTTGAGACAGGGTTTCTCTGTGAAGTTTTGGTGTCTGTCCTGGATCTTACTCTGTAGACCAGGCTGTCCTCAAACTCACAGAGATGCTCCTGGCTCTGCTTCCCAAGTGCTAGGATTAAAGGTATGAGCCACCACTGCCCAGCTATGAAGACCCATCTTAAAAAGTTTTTTTTTCCTCATAAAACTTTCTAGATTCAGCACCAAATTATATCTATATTATTTTAACAAGAACAAAAAGGCAAGTCCATTGTATAATTATAATGTTTTTGTTTGTTTTCTTAAGACAAGGTTTTTCTGTGTAGTCTTGGCTGTCCTAGGACTGGCTCTGTAGAACAGGCTGGCCTCGAACTCATAGGGATCCATCTGCCTCTGTCTCCCAAGTGCTGGGATTAAAGGCATGCACCAATACCACCTGGCTAATTACAGTATTTTTAAACAAAAGTTTCTTTTCTTTTCTTTTCTTTTCTTTTTTTCTATGTTGGGGATTGAACCAGGGTCTCATTTTTTTTTTCATATTTTTTTTTAAAGATTTAGTCAGGCAGTGGTGACACATGCCTTTAATCTCAGAACTCAGGAGGCAGAGGCAGGCGGATCTTCGAGTTCGAGGCCGGCCTGATCTACATAGTAAGTTCCAAGACAGCCAGGGTTACACAGAGAAACCCTGTCTCAAAACAAACAAACAAACAAAAAGATTTAATTTAATTTACATGCATATATATGTATATGAATATGTTAGATTCCCTAGAGTTGGACTTACAAGTGCTTGTGAACCACCATGTGGGTGCTGGGAACCAAACTCAGGTCCTCTGCAAGAGAAGTACATGTTCTCAACTCCTGAACCATTTCTCCAGCCCCTAAACTAGGGTCTCAAGAATACTAGGTGGCCGAGCGGCGGTGGCGCACACCTTTAATCCCAGCACTCTGGAGGCAGAGCCAGGTGGATCTCTGTGAGTTCAAGCCTGGTCTACAGAGTGAGAACCAGGACAGGCACCAAAACTACACAGAGAAACCCTGTCTTGAAAAACAAAACAAAAACAAACAAACAAACAAAACACTAGGCAAGCACTCCAACACAGAGATACATCATCTGAAGGCTTTTATTTTTTGAGACAGGGTCTCAGAAAGTTGTTTAGGCTGTCCTTGAACTTGTGATCCTCTTTCCTTAGTGTAATGGCTGGGATTACAGGTATGTTTAAGTGCACAGGGCTCTTAAATAGATGCTACCTCATAATTGCTTCCAAAGCCCACACAACTCCATTCAACTAGGCCTCTGTCAAAGGGGTGTCTGGGGACTGTTGCCTTAACAACACTAACCCATTCTCAGGAGGCAGCTCAGTTCTATTAATGACTGCTTGCACCACATTCCATAGAGAGGTTTTAGCAAGAATATTGTTTTCCCCAAGTTCTTCATGAGGGTGGTAAGGCCTCAGAAGAAACAGTCTCAATAGGCCAATAGGAATAAGGGGACTAAAAATCTTATCATCTGTCTCTTTACACAGGAATGCAGACAGCACAATCTTCAGTAGCCATTTTTTTTTTTAAGTACATGTAGTGTATTTAGAATTCAGCTGTGTCACATCAGACTGTTGGGAAGTAGATCATGAACACAATCCAAAAATAACAGCCATTAAAAACCTAGCAACCAAAACATGTTTATGCATCCATTGAAAGGCTGGTGGTTTTGATTATATAGTGGAGGGTATAATCTACTAGTCTATTTTAGGTAAATTTTCCTTTCACCTTCCCTTAATATTAAACTACATGGTGATTTCTGAGTTTAAAGATATATATGTTAGAGTCTGCACAAGGAACAGATACAGAAACAAAGTAGAACTCCTTTAGTTCTCTTTGCTTTTTTTTCCCCAGAGCTGAAGACTGAACCTAGAGCCTTGCACAAATTCGTGCACATTTAGCTCTATTGAGCTAAACCTCCAACCCCACAATAAAAAGGTTTCGTTTGTTTGTTTCTTATATGCATGCATGTTTTGTCTGCATGTATGCCTGTGCTCTGTGTGCACGCAGTTCCCATGAAGGTCAGAAGAGGGTGTCGGACCCCCTGGAACTGGAATTACACATGTTTGTGAACTGCCATATAGATACTCAGAATCAAACCTGGGTCCTCTGCAAGATCAACAGTGCTCTTAACTTCTGAGCCAACTCTTTCTCCTTACTACTGTTTTTTGAGACTTCTCTAAGATTATCACAGTTTATTCCTGGGATTTACATAGACTTTTTGTTTCTACTACACTTGGAATAAATAATTTGAGTCAATAACAAGTAGATTACAAGTAAATTAAAGTCCTCTGGGGAGTTCCAAAATGAAACTGTTGTCAAGATTTAAGGAAGTTCAATGGCATGCCAAATGGTAGTTTGCTTTACCAAATTTGCATCTTTTGCCACACTTTCTCTATTTCACATAGCATGAGGTGATCACATGTATCTGCTGAAATCCTATTCCAGAGCTATTTGTTACCAGATCTCAGAAGAAATATAAAGACAGGACTAACTATAACTGGAGAACTATAATCTTACTTGAATGAACAGTTTCTGATATGCAAAGGGGGTAAAGGGATGAGTCACATCGCCACCAAACTCTTAGGATGGAGCTTCCTAACCTATTAAAGAAGTGATGATGTCCTCAAGTTCCAAGCTCCACCTCCCACTTCCCACTAAAGAACAGCTATCCAAATCTAAAGACTTTACAGTGAGTCATAAAAATCAACATACAATTTTTAAATGTGGGAAATGGCTCATAAGCAAAGCCCAACAAAACAGAGAACCCAAAGTAAAAAGTCCTTACTATTTTCCTTTTTTTTTTTTGATACAGGGTTTCTCTGTGTAACTCTGGTTGTCTTGGAACTAGCTCTGCAGACCAGGCTGGCCTTGAACTCAGAGATCTGCCTGCTTCAGCCTCACAAGTACTGGGAATAAAGGAATGAGCCGTGACACCAGGCATTTTAAAGCTTTTTAAATTTTTTATTTTTATTTATTAGTAGTGTGTGTGTGTGTGTGTGTTATAGATATATGACATATGTGTAAGTGCAGGTGTACACATGCCAGTGTACATGTGGAGGTCAGAGGATAATTTCCAGACTCCACTCTTTCTTTTCACCCTTCCCTATGGGATCCGATATAAAATTTAGATTGTCAGGTTTGTTCAGCAAATACTTTTATCCTTTCAACCATTTTGGCCTCACCCTTAAAAGATCACTTTTTTGCCGGGCGTTGGTGGCGCACGCCTTTAATCCCAGCACTCGGGAGGCAGAGCCAGGAGGATCTCTGTGAGTTCGAGGCCAGCCTGGGCTACCAAGTGAGCTCCAGGAAAGGCGCAAAGCTACACAGAGAAACCTTGTCTCGAAAAACCA